GGGGCGTCGTCGCACCCCCGGTGGTCTTGGGTTAAAAACGTACGTACGGAAGTCCGCGACCTGTCCTGGCATCGCAGGGATAGGGGCTTCAACCCGCCCAAAGTGAATCTCCTTTGGGTTTCTGAGCTGGCCCTTTTATAGCATCGCTTGGGGTGCCATGACTCAAAGTAGTTGATGTGGAATAAAAAAAGGATATGATGTTCAAATAGAAGGTGTTAAAATAAATATGTTTATTTAAGCTATGTTCTTTCTCCGTGACTACTTGCTGTTGTGACTGTATGTTAATGTGGTGCTAATCTGTGAGTTAATGCTAGCTTAGGTATATTATCACTCAGCAATTCGCTGAGCGTGTAGTCGTTGTTGTTTGACTGCACGCAGGTAGGAACACTGATTTTGATGGGCAACCTGGAGGGCAGTGAAGTGGTGGTGTGGCCTGGATGGCTCTTATTTACTTTAATAACTAAACTACAGTATTTTAATTGATTACATGGACTGTTGGACGTTACTTTGGTTTTACCATGCTTCCGCGACGTTTGGACTTGTTTATTACTCTGATAAATTTTGGTTTAGTTTTGAACTCTCACGGATGAATTTTATAATTTATTCAGCTGATTATTTTCTTAAAAAAAATATTGTGCATGCGAATACCAATTTAGTAACAACCCGGTTCGCTAATCCGTTGGTTTGGGTCACGCGGGTTGGGGTGTTACATTTTGGTATCAGAGCGTATGGTTTTAAAATCGGTCTTCGGACCATTATAAGTACCATTTTGGAAATAAATAAGTGAAAATAATATTATTTTTGATAATAATAATAAGTGCAAAAGTTATTTTCAAGTACTGCATCCACGTCCTCCACGTCATCTCTGCCTTCCGGGAAGGTAATAAATTATTGTCTTAGTTCTTAATGTTGTGTGGAGCTGATTGCTCAAATTATAGTTTAGAGCTTATTGCTCAAATATTTGTAAGGAACTGATTGTTCGAATAGTTGTGTTGAGTTGATTGCTTAAACATTTAAATGGAATTGATTGGTCGAATGTCTGTGTGGAGTTGACTCGAGTTGACTGTTGAAATGTTTGTGTTGAGCTGCGAATTTTTGATTATTGGGATGACTGAATACTTAATATAGTTTAAGATAAAGTTCACATCTTGTAGATAGAAGTATGAAACCTAGCTATTTACTATTTACTATAAGGTGAATGTCAACACAAACCAAGACGATGAGATGCTAGTAACAAAAGGGAAGAGTGTAAAAATATACTCATAATAAATTATTTTGTCTAATATTCGCTTATCTTGTTTGGTCACTGGAATGGATAACCAAATTCTGAAAGGGCTGCAGACCTGGATGGATGAGGGAGTCTTATTTTGATATCAAACTAGAATGACCGTATAAAGGGAAGGAAGAACTTGTTGATTAACAAATAACACTTATCACCAACACATCATAATGTATGAGGGGCTGGCTTTAGGCCTCGGTTTGGTCCTCCCCTCCTTTTTGTATCCTCATGCTTTCTTAATAATAGCTGGTACGGGTTGCCTAGACCTTACCCCACCGAGTTTGGTGGTTTACCCGCTGGGATAAAAAAACACATCATAGTGTAGTGTTGTGGCTGGATACAAACCATAAGAACTCAATGAATGATCTAACTTGAAATACGTTACGTGTAGACGTACCTTGCGGACATGATGAAACAACTGAAGCGAACATGAAGGTAGTTACGACATCGACACATTGAAATGTGGAATGGACGTTAGAGGACATACCGTTGAAGGGCTCCTGAGCGTTACAAAGTCTAGTTAGCAAGTATTAGTGACGCCGATTGTGATAGTGGTGACTTTAATAGAACGCCCCACTTACCCTCGTTAGTATGATCAATGAATTGTTGAAAAATAACTTTAACGAATCAAGAATGAATCAATTTAATCTCGTCTATGCCGTTGAAGATTCTAGGTTATGACTCGTGAAGGGTGAACTTACTCTGAGATCGATGAATGAATTTAATGTTAAATTCATTACCATTAATGTCGTGTCACAAGTTGAATGCCACTTGAAACTCTTGGACGAACCTTTGGATGCGCGCCAAGATTGGAAAGTTACGATATCATTACGTACCACTTGAAGAAGAGCATTACACGATAACTTGAACACCGAGCTACGTTGAGTACTCTGAGTGTGAACGACCCACCGAGGGTACGAAGCCTGAAGCAAGCATAAACATGACGAATGTGTGTGAAGCAACATCATGTAAGACACTAGGCCTAAAAGATTGAGCTTGCATCATGATGTAACATGGACGCGAAGAGAAGAATTTTGTGGTTAGCACCGTGCAAATACTCAAGCTAGGTGGGGCATACGACATGCTCCTAGGGACATGACAACCAAGGTACACCGTACCCCTGACGAGACTATATCGACAATGAGCCATACCGAAGGACTAACAAACTTAACACAAAAGAATACGAATGACGACGACGAATGCTGGCGATATAGTACCAACGAGTACGAAGCTCGAACCGTTAGACGACAGGTACAAAATCTGATTAGGCGAGTGGCAACATGTGGGCTGAACAACGGAATGCACTGAGAGAATATGACACAGAAAACAACGTTTGTTGCTACAACTTCCGACAAAGTACCCTTTACGTGCAGATCAACTTGTTGGTGGATTAATCAGAATGAAGATTGTTCCGCAAGGAACAAGTCGACAACTAACTAATCGACGTGCGACATCTCTTGAACTTAATCACGAACATATGTAGTACGTATAATGAAGGATTTCCAAAAGACTGGCTCGAGGAATGTGTTGGAGACTGGCGATCCATAGAAAGTAACTCTTGAAATACCTTGTCGAATGCTCGCGACTATACGAACTTTAGGTTTGAATATCGTGACAAACGAGTGGTTAATATTCTTGAACCGTTAAAGTTTTATCCGTAACCTACATTGATTAACCTCCACTTTGATCCATCAACGTCGGTCAAACTCCTACACGTGAATGGAGATAGTATCTCTGTAATGAATTGACAAAATCTCTTTCCAAAATCAAGTGATGACGTACCCGTGAAGATAGCAAAATCTTGGGTGGCAAGATTTCTATGTAATAAATTTGACTTTGACTTTGACTTCTAAACTCGTACTCTGCGATACAGTTGACTGAACTATAATGAAGAACGTATTCTAAATAAACGTATTTAAGAAATCACTATGACCCTATAGAAACCGTCGGAACATCTATGCAACTTTTGGAGAACCTTGCCGAAGATCTCAACGATGAAGATTTACCCTATCAACAACAAAGACACGTGTACGTATGTACTAAAGGACGATATCGTATCCCGTCACCTAAAGTATTCAAATCATTGCGAGTGGATCGCATGAAGAATGGCTGAATGAAAAGATTGTTATGAAGATTGTTATGAATAAACTTGTAAAATTTTCTTATAACCAAATTCCTAAAAAAAAATCCGTAAACGAAATTCCGAGTACTTCGACATTGTCAAAGATCAAGAATGTGACCACATGTTGAAGAATCTTCTTTCAATTTGAAAAAAAAAGCCGTGGATAAATGGATGATCGAAATAATTGTTACTAGGAATATATATTGTTGTGGACTCGAGCAAAATAAACCAATACTCTAATGATGCGGAAACATTGTTGAACATGAATAATAATCAAACAGTAACCCGCTATTGGTAGGCATCAAAAGTTAATTCATCGCGTGAGAAACATAGGTATGAAGTGACAACGCTATGAAACTGGCCATGGCGATATGCTACAGGGATCGTGACGTGATATCATAATCGGAAAAAGAACAACTCTAGATAGACTTACGGAACGACTTCTAATGCTCGACGAGCTTAACAGTGAAACAAACTATCCTAAACTCAATTTTCGACTACATGGAAGGTGTGAGCATTGTCGCAATCCAGCTAATCGATCCTGAGAAGATCTTATGTTGATGTCATAAGCCAACGAAATAGACGAACTTTGAATATAAACTGAACGAAATATCAAATAACAGGCACTACGGTATCTGAAAGCTTAACTATTGTTGGGACGCTCTATGGAGGTACTCCATGCATGTTCGTTGGAATCAAACTCAAGGAAGATCGAATTATGAACTCGACAACTTGTCAGATGTTTTGAACAAAAATACCAATACAAAACTCTTACGATAATCCCTCGAACGATAAACGAGGAGAATTTATGTGAGAATGGTGTGGTGATTTAACAACCATGATCGTAATGCGATTGTGAAACCAAACCATTGAAGTTTGTGCTTAGAAAAATTTCGGGGACGAAATTCCTTTGAGGAGGGAAGAAATGTAACGCCCCAAAACCCGGCTTGGTATTTTTAATTAATTTATATAATTAGTTAATTACTAAGTTGGTCAAAATGAAGATTATTTTCTAATTTACGTATTTAATATGAGAGTTGACCTACGTTGTAGGGCTCGAAGTTCTGAACCCGACCGCGTGAACGGATTGCGAATTGGACCTACTAGGCCCAAGATATGACTACCGAATAAGGTAATTGGGCTTAAATACATCCTAACTGGTTAGAGAGTGTAAACTGGACCCTAAAATTCTATTTAATTTTATATTAAATATGAAAGGGGGTTACGAGACTTACCATCCATCCGTTTCTTCCCGTTCGTGTCCCTGCTCTGCGTCCGTTTCTCCTTCGTCGTCCCGTCAGCCAGCAGCAGCAGTGCCGCCGAGCTCCGCCGACGCCGCCGTCGCCGCTCTTCCTTCCCCATCGCACGGTAGATTCGGCTGCAACAGGGAGTGCAGCGGCGAGCTTCTCTCTTTCGATTTGGTTCCTAATTCTTCAATAATTCGAGGTGATTCGTGGTTTCTATACCTTCCGTTAGCGTTAATTCGTAGATTAGAACTTCCTTAACGTATAATTTAGTAATTGATTGTGAATTTGATTGTTAATTGATGAAATTGGTTGGGTTTGAAGAAATTGGGGGTTGAACACCGCCGAATTCCGGTGAGAAGCCGCCGGCGGACGGCGCTAGTCCGGTCAGGGCTCCAGCAGTTGCTTGGGTTGGCTATGGGGGAATTCAATTGGGCCCGATTAGTTTCCATTGGATTCAATTTGGGTCTAATTGGGTTCAATCGGGTCCGTTTGGGTGCAATTGGGTGTAATCGAGTCTGTTGGGACTCAAATTGATGCAATTGGGCTTGTTTG